ATCTACCATTATAGTTCCCCAGGGCATAGACGGTCCAGTTGAACTTGAATATTAAACAATGACTGAAACAAAGAATTCAAAACGGAAAAGTTTTCAAAAGACATCAAAAGTCTGACCGCAGGGTAAATGGATATCGCTAAAATATACCTCGGAGAAATATTAAGCCATATGATAATAATTCAATACCTAAGGTCATGACTTTAGATATGAAAAAAATCTTAAGATGTTTAGAAAAATGAAATACAACGTATGTAAACAGAAGGCGATATATATATACATTAACCTTGGGGTATGCAAATGAACAAACTAAAACGTCAATTTTGAATAATATCCTTGGGATATTGTGGTCAATTTATGCGAGAGTAAAACATACTTTTAACGACAGTATTTGAAACTTCTTTTTATGGAAGCTTCAGGGCATACTTCTGTAGAGAAGAAGGTGTATTTGAGGACATTTAGAAATACGGGGCGAGGACGAGACGGTACCAAGCCTTTATATCTTATCTGTCGCCATTTTACCTAATGACTAGGGACTCTCGCTTGCAATTACTACCGCGTTATGATCAACAACGAGTTCATCTTTTTTCCTGTTTTCCCCACTTCACTAGAAGGATTATCAATACTTTGAATCCGGCGACATCACCAAGTCACGTTTAATTACCCAAAGGTGTAAAAATCGTACGAATACATAAATATATATGTTTGATAAACAGCGTATGTTAATGGCAATGTAACATGCAGGAAATGGCTAAAACACTCTAATGCAGGAAACGACTGACTACCCACGATCCGGATTTTGATTGACCAGCCAACTTGTGTGATGGGAAAGAGCTATTTTTGGTCGAAATAGACGTTTTTAGAAAATACTTCGATACTAGGTGATATTTTAGGTAATTCATATTACTAGTTTTGGGGTGTTTTTTCGGATTAATGACAGATTTAATTTCCAGACAGTTTTGCATATATATTATATGCATTATAAAATCACACGGTCCTTAGTGTATTATAATAGGTACTTGGTACACAACTAACTTATTGATCATCCGATGAATTTGAAACCAAAAATAACCCGATTTTACCAAACTTATACAACCAACCGTTTTAAAAGAACCTTTTAAATGAGAAAAAATACACAGTGCACGTGTCGGTGTTCGAACCGCATGCACGATCAATCATTGTCGTACCGACCTAACATTTCATTGTAAAATAAGTCATCTTCATTGTGCGCCACACATCGTCCGGAATGGATTGCATTTCGCGTAATTAGATCTTCACACCAATATCTGTCTACCTCGTAAGGAATGGGTTTGTATAAAAAATGTATCGGAGGGCTGGACTGAGGGTCCAGTTACCTTTTGTAATCGTTACGCCTCCGTTATCGATCACATGGGGGAGGTTAAGGGCCCAGGTACCGCATTGTACCAACGGTTTTCTTTAGGAATTGGTGCTCATTGCTAACAAACGGCACGGCTTTCTTGTCTAAATATGAGAGACAGTGTAGGCGAGGCTTTCGTTTGCACAACAAACAGACACATGTGACTCTTTCCTCGCTGATAATTGATCATCTGTTTTCTCGGTCGCCAGGTCAGGTAATACTTATTTCCCAGTTTGTTCATGACAAACAGACGCCATTTTTCTAGATCCACAATCTTGGCAATATATTATATAAAAAATAACCCAAACACTTGCCCGTGGTGATGGTCACTTATGAAGGTCAATTAAGGTCAGAGATACATGAATGGTCAATATCCGCGTGCAGATCGGCGGTGGTCAGTTGGGTAGTGTAATTGGGTCAATGACAGACGACTTATGTCAATATACCTTATCGTTCTTCCTGTTAAATGTCTCCTGACGTGCGTGAAATATATTGCTTGTCAGAGGAGCCTTTTTACAGGTAGACGGACAGGTAAAACTATAGCTTGTCAGGTAGGTTGTTCGGTTGTATAGGTAAAAAACATGTTGAGACACCCCACCCGCTCAGCCGTCTGTCAGAGTGACAGATTACACCTTACGCTTTCCTCCTCGCAGGAAGTTATGGATAAAAACGTCAGACACGTGCTTTGTCCCTAAACAACAACATGCCTGACAGTCTTCTTCCGTTTTTATACAATATATCGATTGAGCTTAATGCGTAACATCATCCAATATGGTCCGTATTAATAGGCGACCTGATTCTGAAGGTTTTAACTTCCGCGGTAAAACTAAGCGCCAATATTTCTAGACATAAATCTTCCTAACCGACCTTTGAGAATGAAAAGTTCATAGCTTCTTTTTCATAACATTTTTGCACGCATATTCCACGAAATAGGATGAAATATGAAATTAAATATTATCTAAACTAAAAAAAAGTGGAATAGTGTAATCCTTCCCATAAGTTGTCTTCATGTAGATAAGAGTATTGTTTCAGCGTGTACCGCAGTAGATTATTTGTACGTTGATACACTGTAAATACCATTGGTTCACGTTTACATCAATCACAAATACACATTCATACACCCAACTGTCTATAATGATACAGTGCACACGGCTACCGCCCAGTTCTATTTTCAGTAATTGAAGAAACATTTATATGATTTGGTTTCCATTGTAAGTAAGTCTATAGTATACTTACAGTATTGTGTTTCATGGTACCTGCAGACGTACTAAAGAACACAAACAAATCTGGCAGACAATCACGGACTTACTGTGAGAATACAGTTTAAGCCGGAAACGTGCACTTTTGAGCTGTTTTGTCCCTTAAACTGTACCCGTACAGAAACACCACGTGGGAACGACGGTATCAAAGCCGACACATAGTACATACCCTTAGCCGAACTCTATAGTCAACTCTAGCAGACGGTCCCACCTTAAAGGGTTCGCCATTGTGCTAAGGAAGGGGTCAAATCAGTCTGTTATTGACCCCTAAAATCCTCCCCATCAGATATTTCCGGGTCGATGATCTGATTGTGATAAAACATTTAGTCTTTGTCATTATCCGTTATCCCTTAAATGTCGATTTTGATCGCTTTCAGTGTAACCGACCTATGGGTGCCCGTTGACAATTAAACAACACCATTATTTAAATGAGGTATTGTTTGTATAATAGTGTGTTATCATAACGGGATATTTGCACTTTTACGGTTCGTTCGATGTTCCCGCCATCTCTTTTAACAACGGCGCTGATTTGGCTATAGATACAGCGGTGATACTTCCGGTTTGCGAGAGTTGGACTGATCTGCCGGGATTGTTACCGAAACATTGCCATGTTTACTATATACAATTATATCTGAGATATTCAGATGTTCTGATGTTGATTTAATTGATTTATATTGATTTACTAGTCTAGCAACATTTGCTGACTTCCGTAAAAACTTAATTAAGACGCGGAGTCGTAATAAAAGCTCTATAGAGCTATGTCTATTGTTGAAGATTCATAAAGATTATTTATTTATTTACTATTTATTTATTTATTATGAATTTGTTATTGTTTTAAATCCCCCGCCCCCTCCCCCTCTCCCCATCCGTAGGTTTCTTGTTTCTTACCTCGGACGTATTTTCCTTAATTTGGTTAATGTGACATGTAATCTTAAATATGGTTTTGATTGAATTGTTATCTACTTGGGATAAGGCTTAAAACGAGCACCTTATACAAGTCGAGATAATTAATCTTTACGTACCAATTGCCATAAGGGAAACGTTTTTGTGTAGGCGATATTTAAATATCAAACATAAAACGCCGATATCATGTGAGAAGGCAAATACAAACGTCGAGTACAGATACATTTTCATTTGAAATTTCGAAAGTTTAATTTGAGAAAATAAGTCACCAATTTTGAATAGCTTTAAAGCTAACATCTCGGCCCATAGTATAATGTAGGTTGTATAAACGATTAGACACTCGAGAGTGAACTAATAAAGTCGCGCAATGTTGTTAAAGTTCTCGTTAGCCTACTGAGACGATTCACTGTACACTCCCCAAACCGTCTATTACAAGGCTCGGTACTTTGCTCAAGCTTTTTAAGATTTAAAAAATCGTTCATGATTTACACAAAAGGCGACGGGAAATCAGCCAACCCTGTGTCACACCAGCGAAACGATCAAACAAACTCGGTATAGTGATGGTAATGCTCCGATCATTGAGTCGTCACCAAATTGTGTTAGTCTGTTTTACCTCACTTAGGACAGATTCCAGGTGTACGATGACATCTTGTCATCTTAGAATATTGATTTTTCATAGGTCTCAAATGAAGTTTAAGCTTTTCATATATTTATTTGTTATAAGAATGATATTCAATGCGTGGAAAACGCAAGAATTAAAAAATTTTCTTGAATACTGTCATGTAAAACTACGCTGAAGACATCTTAAGTTAACAATGCGTTTAGCGTTAAACCAGACCGATTATGTTACAAAATAAATAAACATCTAAACAGAAAACACATTACTGTCCGTGTATTATCAGTGAGTACAGTAGCGATATTGTCTACGCCATTGTCACCCAGCATTTTACAGATGACGGCACAGCACTGGGCTAGATTTTCATCCCCACAATACGAGGTGTAGTCCCGAACTCCTAATTAAAGTGCTCTAGCCAGCGATCAGGTTATTGGGAGTATACATACTCTACTGTATAAATACCCTGCTGGTAGCCGGGTAGGGCCAGTCGAGCTCTAGTAGGCGAGCCGAGCGGTTGGGTAGATATACGCGGAGACTTCAGGCTAAACATTATACTGGTCGATATGTATGACTTACATGTAACAGGTAAGCTAGCGGCTCCGGTCGTGTTAGGTATTTCACCGCTTATAAGTACTCTACCATGCTGTTTTAATTCTATTTCAAGGTTTTGTTGGGTCTGTGTTGATTGACATAACGGGGAACATGTCTTGTTAGTAGAAAATACCGATCAACAAGTTGCATGTTGTATAACTATTATTATATCATTTATAAGTATTATATCATTTATAAGTATTTTTTATGATTTTCGATGAAAATGACTTATGATTTATTTATTCTGTCTATCCAGGTTTTCAAGTCACAAAGATGTTTCGCTGGTTGAAAGACAAGAAGAAACAACCAAGAAAGGCAGGTGACAAAGACAAATCTATCGAGGATGATTATGGTTTTAGGAAAGATCAGTCCAGGAATCCCACAGACGCTTTACCGGAATTCATCAGTGATTATGGATTTAATAACGGGACGTGCATGAGGATACCCGCAGATATCGTGAGACCCGTCACGTGTGTGAGAGTTCCCACGAGAGTGCCAATCAATGGTGTTCCGGCAGTGAACAATGATCCCGCTTACCACATCTACGAGGAGATTAACGACCTTCATGACCTACCTTTATCTTTAGTAGATAACAGGAATCTGCAAACACAAAACAATGGTGCTTTTACTCATAATGCAAATTCATGGAGTTCGATTTCTTTACACAACCAATCCAATCGCATTTCGGCGGACGGACGTATACAAAATAGGACGAATGTAAACGAGTCTTCGGATGTATTTTTACCCAAAAGATCAAATGTCAATTCCACAGAAGGACCTTATATGGTTGTACCTATTGTGTGTAAAACAGACGACAAATCAAAACGCAAAGACTGTGTTTGTGACATATCCATTGTTTCGAACAGGTTCACGTGCGCTTGCAAGTGCCGGAAACAATTTAAGAAATCCGAGTCAAACTACAGCGAACCTTGGGATAGCAGTGAAAGCTCGTGTTCTGTCGGGTTCGTGAGTCGGAAAAATTCATCACATGAAAAAAAGTCGAACTCTCAGACACATCGTCATGACAGTACGCGCTCCTACGTCACATCAAACTCAAGTGAATATAGTTCTAGTTCTGCCAAAAGTTCAATCGCTTCCAGGTCATCTGGACCGGATATGGACGGAAATGATACTTGTTGCGAGTATGACATGAGTACGTCAAGTGAATCTGATGTCGCGGAGGAATACCGTTCCCATTTAGATAAAGTGCATCAGAACTTAATTCTCAAGGAACAGGTTCGAAACATAATCCACTCGCTAAGCAACAGTGGTAATGTTACAGAAGACAGTACTAATACTCTGGAAAGGGGGTCGGACGTTGAGTCTGTCCGAACTGTGTCAAGTCTGTCCGGACGGTCGTCACAACCCACACTCAGTACTGGGGAAGTGTCGGACCCGGATGTACTAGCTGACCGATCAGAATCTGACGATAGTAGTGGATATTATGAATATTCAGAGGAAAGAAACGGAAACAGTTGTTCAGATGATGCTTCGCAAGCGCAGACATCTTCGAAATCAGAATCTCACAAATCTCACCACAAGCACAAATCTCACAAAACAAAACACAAAAAGTGTCCATTTGAGGTAAAAAGCTCCATACTTGAAGACACAGAAATGTACCTTTTACCTTCAAGTAGGAAAGACTCCGAATGTGATAACGTCCGAGTGTACCGAAAGCCTTTACTACTTCCGCCTCAACAGACATTGATTTACCAGGATCCAAACAGATCTAAAACAAGGAATGGGAACAGGCTTTTGGGTGACCTGATCCGTATGAACTATGACAAACAACACATGATACGCGTGTAGCGTGTGTCTTTTGTGATACTCGTGTAGCCTGTGTCTTTTGTGATACGCGTACTGGTGTAACCAAGATGCGCGTGAGACATTCCGAGTGTTCGTTGTGTTGATCGTTTTGGATGAAAATTACTTGTGTAATTTAATTTCTCCATGGAACGATCTTCTTTTTGGATGAAAATATTTACTGACTTTCTTGAAATTCAAATTTCTCCATGGAATATTGCATGCTGATAAATTTAGTAAATCTACAAAGCAAGTGAAACTTTGGGGGAAACATAAGGTTCATTCTTTATACTGTAGAACATTGGACCCTTCTTAATACAATGATATCATAAAACTACCATGCATTTTAATTTTATCAGCCCATCTTCTTATTTTCAAAATACTACGAAAATGAAGAAATTTAACATTTATTGTAATTTGGAGCAATTTTTCGGGGAAAGTTTCTCTGGAAATATTTTATTGATGTGTTTAGAATGAAAACTAGTCGATCACATATCCCGTAAAACCGAAAATAGTGTAAGTCAGTTCTTCAATTGTATACAATGTAACATACTTTGTGTTTACAAATGGATTCTACAAGAACGTTTATTTTTTTATCTCAAATACACTCAAAGTGAGAATTATGATAAATATCATTGAGGTGCTGTCTAGATTGAATGGAAAGAAATGGAAAATAAGTATCGTAGAGAAATAGAATATTGAATGTGTTTGGAGTATCGCGAGAAAGGATGTGTCAAGCTTAGTCGCCATGTTTAAATATATGTGTGAGAGTGAGATATAAGTATGACTTGGAGTTGAGAGATTTATATACACAAATATGTAATATATTAACGATTTAGATTTGATCTTGCAATAATGAGACAGAAATTAATCGCTATTAAAATATGAAAATCAAATTTAAACAATGGTTTCTTTGTCTTCTTTTTACTTCTGTGTTTTTATCCTTCATAAATCAGGGCTCTTTGCTTTGTCTGAAGACGAGACTGTTCAAATGACTTTTCAAAACAAACATGACAGAACGATTTCCTTAAATGAAGATTACAGGCGAGGGTCGAGTTCATATCTACCACATAATCATCATGATTTTCACAAGAGAGATTACACGACCCGTACAATGTATCGTTTCATATATATTTAAAAGACCGTAATTTTAAATTACCGTTGATCCGGACCAGAGGAGATCTTGATTTACATGATATCGTTACACGTACCCTGATAACATCTCTGGGACACTGATCAGGAGATTATCGACACTGTGAGAAACTCGGGTGTTGTCATGATGTAGAGTTGTTAGATATTACACGTGTTTAGACCCCACAAGAATCAGATGTATTTTTCTCAGATTCTACTACAATCCCAGTAGCAAATATATGTTCTATATAGGCAAGCAGTTCTACTTTTACTTTCGTTACTTAATACTTGAAATTTGAGAAAAGACTTTTATATTGTGAAAAAAATCGTTTTGAGATGTATCCATAAAAAAAGATTTATTTATGTCTAGATATGGATATATGCTACCTTCGTGTGATATGTAACTTATTTAAAAAAGAGTTCCACGTTACAATAACATGCACATTATCTTTGATTTGAGGTAATTTGGATTCGAGCGTTTATTTGAAGTCACACTTAAAACTTTAAGAACAAGCATGTGTTGTTAACGACGATGCTTTTTGACTGATTACATATTTTAAAGTTTTGAGGGAGATAACTCTAACACAAATTAAAGGTAATATATATCCTTAACTCTAGTGCAAATTACAAATACATTGTGTATACTATTTAGAACCACACAAAGCCTTTCGTCGCTCAAATACAAATTTTATGTACAATGTATAAGGAAGCATCCATCCTTAAACTTTAACATAAATCACAAACATAATGTGTAGAGTTAAATATGTCCTTTACAAAAATCAACATATGATGTGTAAGGTAGCATACACCCCTAACTCTAACACAAATCACAGGTATGATGTGTAAGGTAGCATACACCCTAAAACTCCAAAACAAAGCACAGGTATGATGTGTAAGGTAGCAAACACCCTTAACTCTAACACAAATCACAGGTATGATGTGTAAGGTAGCATACCCCCTTAAACTCTAACACAAATCACAGGTATGATATGTAAGGTAGCATACACCCTAAAACTTTAACACAAATCACAGGTATGATGTGTAAGGTAGCATACACCCTAAAACAAGTCAAAGGTATGATGTGTAAGGTAGCATACACCCTAAAACTTTAACACAAATCACAGGTATGATGTAAGGCAGCATACACCCTTAACTCTAACAAAAATCACACGTATAATGTGTAATGTAGCATGCTACTTTACACAAATCATAATATCATGTGGAAGGTAGCATACATCCTTCACTCTTGACAACATTTTAGTTGTAAGATTATGGAAGCACACTACGTATTTTGAGGGACAAATGCATCGTATAATGTGTTAGGTAGCATACTTCCTTAATACAAATCGCCAATATAATGTATCAATCTTAGCGCAGTCAGTGTAGGTACCAACTAACAGCCCATGCAGGCCCAGGACCAGACATGGGTTTCTAGAGGTTAGCCTAAACACATAAATGTTCAAAGTTTGCAATTGTTAATGGCCGCAACGTAATGCATGTCGTCATGCACAAACAACGCAGACATGTAATGCACGTGACTTGTGTTCTCAGTCACGTGCACGACAATGTGATTTCAAATACATGCTTGTCTGTCACATGTTTCGTATGATGTATACAGGAATGAGGGAATTTCTTAACGATATTTCTTTTATGAATTTCAAGAAGAATTTAAAACAAGAACTATCTGAAAAATATTTACAACGTAGTTCTAATGACTGTGGTTATTAAGCTGAAAGCGTTTTTGCATGTTTCATATGTTATTATAGAATTTGCATTACACTTTCTCTACATAGGAAAAGTTATAAGATAATTAGACATCGAATGTGAATGTTACTGAAAGATTTTGCGATATTGAAAAATAGCTTTCTATAATCGTGATTTTTAAAATTTTCATCTACTTTACGCTTCTCTGTGACAAGTTAACGTACGGTGCACGTGACTGCAGCGATGGCTATATCTACTTTTAAACCGCGGGAGTCTGCACGCACACGTTGCGATATACACTACACATTTTTTGTCTTGGTACTTTCAATATTGTTGATAGTTTTATGATAATAACACTAATATAGCATAACGGACATACTTCCATTTCTGTAAATTAAGAAGACGCCTATTTCTTTTTCTTTCTTTTTAAACCCAAATGTGCCTCGCTTTATATCTCAAATCTGCTTTTTATATAAACCATTCGACTGGCCAATTAGTTAAATCCTACTCATGGCGCCACCTAGCTCGTCATATAACATTGGGTATTTTCTGAGCCATTTCTCAATTCGATCTTAATTGGCTCCACCGCAAAAGTGACTATTTGGTATTTTTGATTGAAATATTTCATAGGCTTTTGCAAAAATGACAATGATTGTGATAAGTAATAAAAAAGTATTATTGCAAATCCCCACTGTCTTTCGCTGCGTTTTCAACTATTTGATTCACGGTGGTAAGCAGAAAGCGATACTTGAAGATTTTCGTACTTACCGATTTTGATTGATACACAATCTGATTATTCTCAAACTTAAACAAAGAAATAAATCTGACTTTAATTGTCGAAAATTAATGATGATCAATGCAAAGAAATCCTAATAAACGAACATGATCCACGTGTGTGCTGATGTGAATCGGACGACATTGATGTATCGGAACATGAAATCGGGTCCTGGACCCACGCGCCATACAAAACCTGCGCATCTGCTGTCTGCAGTCGTTGAAGTGCACGACCTGGTTACGTAATATGATCAGCTGCCCAACAAATCAATACGTCACTGTGTGTCAGATTTTACGGCCCCTAGATCACAGAGTTGTCGGCCTGCCTTGTCTAGGGCTCCGAATAATGGGAAATTAAACGCACAGGTAAATCTTTAATTAAAATCATGTGTATGATTTGATATTTTATGGTTGACTGGGGTGTGTGTATTCAAAGTTCGATTTCGGTTTCGTGACTTGCATGATCCTTCTTTTCTATCACGGTAAAAAAACACCTGAAATCCACAAAGTGAACGTACAGACACGAAATCAATCAGCTTGTTCAAATGGTTGAAAAATAGAGATGCCAGCAGGTTTGGATCCAGTAACAGTTCCTTGCACCTGTTTTTCATATATCACAGTTCGTTATGCACGATAGCCTGTCTGAGTCTTGTAAATCATGTTCCATCAGAATGTGAATATATGTTGATTGATTTTTAATTTAAGAGATTTATGCCTGTCAGTGTTTGACAGAATAAAATCAAACAAGAACAAAACCCGAGTTGTTCATGTCTTGTTCCAAACAAAACGAAGATAATAAAATAATGGTGTGCTCTGATTTACCGGGTTGGAATTGGTTTAATATTCACGTATGCTCTCATCAAATTATAGAACAGTGTAATATTTAAGTTTCCGCATGGACAAACATGTTTTACACACAAAATAGTTAATACCAGAATGTTAACAAACCGTAAATCAAAATTGATGAAACAGACGTAAATAACGAGCAAAGCAATCTATAAAGAACCACGGAAAAAGTCCAAGGAGAGACCAGGTATCCCGGAAGCGTAAGAGTCTCCTGCTTCATGGACGATATCTGTCGTGTTAATATAAGTCAAGCCCAAGTAATGCCGCGTTATCGAATAGTTTGGTTAGGTTGGGTTTGGTTTAGCATTGTTTAACGTCCTATCAACAGCTATGGTCATTTAAGGACGGCCTCCCCTGTGTGCAGGATGCATGCGTGTAGTGTATGCGTGTGTTTTGGGAGGCTGCGATATGTTCGTGTTTGTCTCCTTGTGATAGCGCGGAACTGATGCCGACTTTATAGTGCTACCTCACAGAAACATACTGCCGAAGACACCCAGCAGGACATCCCCATCCGGTCACATTATACTGACAACGGGCGAACCAGTCGTCCCACTCCTAAATTGCTGAGCGTTAAGCAGGAGTAGAAACTACATTTTTACAGACTTTGGTATGTCTCGGCCAGCGGACAGAACCCAAAGCCTTCCTCACAGGGTCTAACGCTCAACTAAAGGCGAAATTTGAGGCATTGTCAAGGGAGACATAAGGAAGAAGAAAATTGTTTAGAAAGAAGAGAAAAGATGAGATCCCAAATTTAGTCTCTTAGGGTCGACCGCAATGTATTCTAATGAGTATAATAAAAATACTAATATTTATATCGCAAAAGAAGTCAGATTATTTCCAAAAAGATCGTTAAGATTTGGAGGCATGGTAGTTTAGTGGTAGGAAGCCGGGCTCCGAAGGGTTACGGGTTCGAGTCACGTCACGGAACTGTGTTGTATTTTTGAACACGATACTTTACTCCGCTTGTTCCAATCTACTCATCTGTAAATGAGTACGTGGTTGGACAGTGCTTGAATTATTGAATACTAGCTGTGAGCGCCGAAATGGCAGCACCAGCTGTATGCTCCCCAGGGAGTTGAGAAAGTGTTTGCTGGTTGCAAAGGCCCTATAACCAGGGATAATAATTTGTGAACCGCTTTGAGACGACCTACGAACTAGGTTGTGATAAAGCGGTATATCAGAACCTCGAAATATTATTAGTATTATAGCAACTCTAAATCTTTCCTAGATTGTTCGTCAACATAAATCTTGCGAAACCATGTGTTGTAAGTTTGTCTGTCAACATTCGACATTTATCTCGAAAATCACGATATTTGGAGCAAGCCAAAGAATATCGAATCAAGTACAACTTGTGAACATGTTGGTTTGGGAAGAAAGGGTGTTACTATCAAGAAATAGATAGCTTGCAAAGAGAAATTCGAAGCATTTAACCTTAT